AGACTTGTTACATAAAACATGCCAACAGCAACTGCGCATCACTGGTGACTCTAGTACCGTGTGAGAAACAGGGCTGTGTGGTAAGTTTCCCTTGGGATTAGGTACACACCCGTCTCCCTGTTTGGTCTCTCAAGAGAACATGAGACATGCATACTTAAGTGGATTCAAGCCCTGGATTTCCACTTCTGAACTATTTGGGAAAGATCTCTTGCAGTAGCTTTTGCCAGCCGGAGTCCAGTCTGTGCGGAAGGAGAGGCGCTATGCTAATGAGCTAGTATTGACAAGTGTGATGGATACAGCAAGGTACTTAGTGAGAGCAAAGTTGATTGTGTTTTACAGCCTGTGTGTTTCTGTGTTTATCGCTTGCATTCTGTCATTAAGCAAACAGGTTCCTAATATAGCGAATCTCTCTAATCACTAAAGCAAAAGAGAAAAGAACCAGAGCGCTTTAATTATGACTGTTTGGCTGTAGCCTGGACAGTCTGTTGCTATCATCAGATTGGGCAGCCTCTTCTAGTTTTATTTCTTGCAGTTTAGGCAGAGAGGAGAAAGAGGCTTTTCTCCTGCATGGAGGGGAACAGAGACATGTTCCATGCCCTGCTGGCTGACAACTGCCTAAAAACCTGTGTTTAATCTCAACATTGGCTTCTCCACAGAAATGGAGCCCTGGGGCAATAAAGGCCAGGCTCTGCAAGGGTACACTTTTATGTCTCCAATTCCATAAAGAGATGGAGCGTGCTGATCATGACCCTGCACTGTCCCCAAAGTCCTGCATTGCCCTACAGTGGGCAGAAACAGGTGGGGAGTCCGTGCCAGCTAAGCAAAGTGTGTAAGCCTGTGAATTCAGAGCGCTGTTGGCACCCAGGCTGGCTTTGCAAATGCTGAGACCCAGGGTAAAAGGCAGAGAGGCCACTCTGACTCCAGGTACAGGAGGTTAACAGCATCTAATGCATTTATTAACCCTCTGGTGCCATAGACCGGCCTCCTAATCACAGAGCCCTGGAAATTCTATTATGTGACATGCCTGGACTCGTTGATTGCCGCCAGGGACAATTTTGTAACAGCTGCTGGAGGGACAGAGCTTATGGAGACTCTAAAGGGCAGGTTTCTGTGGTTTTCTAAAACGCAGGCAAGGCCTTTGCACCAGGCTTTTGCCCTTTTAAATCTTTGAGATAAAGCTCAGAACACATTGTGTCTTGGTGGTGACATTTCACACAAAGCAGAGTCAGGAGGCTTTGCCCAAACCACAGGACCGCAAATTATCTGATAGGAAACATCTTCATAAAAGACATTAAATAATTCATTTTCTTCAACCTACTCTGGTAATTGTTCAAATTAACTGTTGCGATGACAGATTTCCTTCTCTTCCTCCCTTAAGCCAGTGACTGCTAGGGTCAGTGTCTATGTGGGTGTGGGCTGCCAGAACTCTAGGTCAGGTGCCTGTACATCCCATAATTAACTGGTGTCAGGGGACTACAGGGATCCTCACACCTGGTGCCAGCATGCCTTAATGGAGCCTTTGGCTTTACCAGTGTACACTTTGGTGATGACAGCTAGTTTTCCACATTGGGGCTTAGTTTACTCTCTACGGAGCCTTAGTGGTGTGTGCGTGTGCGTGCGTGCATGTGTGTGTGTGTGTGTGTGTGTGTGTGTGTCTTTTCATTTCCTTAATTCCATCTCAGTTTTCAGTAAGTGAAACAAGACTTAATGTGTAAGTACTTGCCATATCCTCAACAGTAGTTGAAGTGTGTATGTGTGTGTGTGTGAGGGGGGGGTTGCCCTGTAATTTTACATTTGAATTTATCATTACTGACTAGCAAGACTGGTTGTTTAATGACGTTTCCAAAAACAGGATAGAAATCTTCAAAAACATAGAAGTAACAGGTTTCTGGGGCTTCTACTAGTGGGCTTCACGACACAGATTTTCTTAAGGCCACTCTGGGTCTGCAGTGGTGTCTCGGATCCTCAGTGGCCACTGGAATTCGTGCCATGTACAAGACTCCTGAGCATGCTCACACTCTACATGTGTGAGCCCAGTTCTGCCCCTCTTCTCTGCCTGCCGATCACATGTGGTATGGGTACCAGACAAAGCTTGATCTGTAGTTAATTCCAGGGTAGGTGTGGACCCTTTGAGCTCCATCTCATCAGGTAAGGGACTAAATCCTTTGATTTTATTCTCTGGCTATCACCTGCCTTCTTCTTCTCATAGTGGCACATACCTCCCGGTGTCCCTGCTAGGTTTGGGTAGCTCCTGCAAGACGACGACGACTTCTGTGTTTGCTTTACTCTGTCTGCAGTCATGGTATCATCTCCAGTACCAGGAAGCTTGCTAAGTGCTTCCTGGAAGCAGGGTTTAGAGACCTGCCTTGACAGCCAAGCTCGGCTCTGAGGGCTGAGACAGGGAAGCCTCTCTGGGTTAGACAGCACACTCTCACTTGGATTCAGCATTCTGTGTGCTTACGCCCACCAGGATGGTCCTCCAGCTACAGGTGAGCTGTTAGAAGTCCGCAGGATGCTGCTTTGGGGCCTGTCTACGACACAGAAGTAAATGCATCTTCCTGTGCCAGGAAATGATCACTGCGGCCACCCCTTGAGTGAAGGGAGGGCTGGCACCTTTAGCTGTGGGAATGTTGACCTACTGGAAAGCTTAGAGACATTATATTTAGTGTGAGGCCCTCGGTGATGGGTCATACAGGTCTACCCATGTGCACGGAAGCTCATGGTTAGCTCCTGGAAGTCCCATTATAATCACTTCATCATGGGAATACTCTCCAAGTCTGTCTCAGGTTCCAAAATGGCAGACTCATGGGTGGGTGCTGGTCAGGTGAGGGGGAGAGCCACCGTGAGTGCTACTTTACTGTGATCACGCTACAGAAACAGTTTGAGGCCACACTGCATCATCACAATGCTGAGGTCCTACTGTTTCCCCAAACCAGTCAGTGAATGGATTAGCTATGCAGAGTCCTTCCGTGGAGACCTTTGTCTTTTATGTCTTACGGCCTAGTAAAGAAAAGGCAGATTGTGTTTTAAGGCCATTTGGGTGTCTGGGCACAATTCCAAACTTGACATTCTGCACGTTATTCTCTGTAGGTAGCAGAGCAGTGGCTCAGACTTGCAGTTATTATAGATTAAAAGTAGGCTTTTGAGTAAGTTCAGTTCCGCTTCCAATTCCCCCTCTGATCTTCTTATACATAACATTTAGTGACCTTTGAACAGCCCGGGGATGCTTCCCAGTGTCTTGTTCTTGAAGCCTGCTTTAAAGGTTCCTATTTCATATTCACTGCTGGCATATGCAAATATAGGTAAAGATTATGATGCCTTCCCAGTGGCATTATGGTCAACAAATTACTCCTTGGGTGAGCCTGCTGTCGCTGTAGCCTCCCGCGAGTCACAGAGGCCGGGAGCATGCAGGCGGCCTTCGAGCAGCATGCCCTCAGAGCTGGGGGTGGCTCAGGTGTTCAAAGGTGAAGACTGTTTATCAGCGTTTGCCTTCCTTGGTGTCAGAGGGCTGAGGGTGGGTTCCTTGGGAAGAGTTCCTTGCGTGGATTTGGGGAGGACACAGACTGAAACGAGTCTGTGATCCAGGAAAGAGCATATTTCCATTGAGTACAGGTTGCATTCTGACTCTGTAAGCATATTGATGAGTGTTGAACCAAGTGACTAGTTTTCAAGGTCTGTTCCCTGCAGTTGTCTGAGTGATGGAAACACCCCTTCCACTGAATCCTCAAGCCTAAGCCCAGTGGAGGAGTTGGTTCAGTTACGTTACAGGAAAAGAGAGTTTCTGGCCTGCACTGCTCAGCCCGCTAGCATCTACCTTGGAGGTAGATTACGAATTTCTGTATGGGGGTCTGCCTTGATTACCGTTCTATCGCTGTTAAGAGACAGCATGACCAACGTGACTTACAAAAGAAGGCCTTTGATTGAAGTCTTGCTTATAGTTTCAGACACTTAGTCTGTGATCATCATGGCAGGGAGCATGGCGGCAGGCGGGTGGGCAGGCAGGCAAGGGGGCACTAACTGAAGGCATGACATCCTGATGCACAGATGGGGGAGAGGGAGGGGGAGGGAGGGGGAGGGAGGGGGAGAGAGAGATTGAGAGGTTGGCCTGACATGGGGTTTTTGGAACCTCAGACCCCACCACCACTGACCTCCTCAAACACTTCACCAACAGGACAGGGCCCCAAACACAATGAGGCCCTGGGGCTGTCTCAGGCCACCACAGGGTCTGTAGTGCTATGTGATTGCTGTAGGACATCCATCTGAGAGGCCCTTCCGGGTGCTTTAACCCCAACCCTGGGATTGTTTGCCAGGAAGCAGGGGGCCCTGGTGCTCAGAGAGCCCTGAGCTCAGGAAGTGAATCTTTTCATCCCATCTCCCCAGACCAGCAAGCACCAGGAAACACCACCAGGGAGCTTCTGACTGTTTGCTGACTGGGGTGTCAAGTTGGAAAGCAATAAGCCTCCAGGAGACTAGTTGCTAATATGTGGGCGTGTCTGTTGTGAAGTTTTAAAGTAAACGCACTTTCCCCAGATTAGCGCCTGGAAAGATAAATAAAGATGAATGAGTCATCACTTCAAAACTCCCTCCTGCACCCAGTGGGTGCCCGCTTGTGACAATCCCTGTCCCTGCCTGCCCCACACAGTGGTAGCTACTGGGCTCTGAAGCAGGGCAGCCCTGAGCAGAGACACGCAGGGTCACACACCGGGGTTTGAAGACCTGGGAGGAAAAAAATGCCAAATCTCTCATTAATTTTTTTTATATTGAATCCATGTTGAAATGGTAATACAGTTGGTTAAATAAAATATATAATTAAGGTTAACCTCACCTGCTACCTCTTTATTAGACAGCCGCTTGAATGCTGTAAATTACAGATGGGGCTCACAGTTGTGGCTCCTGTATTTATCATCTGGTCCTGCCCTAGACTGTTGATTAATGGATCATAATTAATTACTCTTCCCCATTATGTCTGAGTGCTTCCCTCCCCCCTTGTCTCCCTCCAGGCACAGAAGCTGAAATCCAATGTGTCGGGCACCACACATCTCTGTCTTGCTGATGTAAGTGACATTTCTTTTTGTGTTTCTTTTGGCTTTATAGGGACATTAGACTTCTGCACTGGGTACATAATATATAACATGTCTTGGATCCAGAAAAGAGCTTGTCAGCCTCTGTATTGACCCGAAAGGTGCAGAATTGAGATCTGGTGCAAAGTTAGAACTGAATGTACCACTTGTGATCTTTAGCACAAGGCCAGCCTTAGCGACAAGTCCATCGTTCCATGCCAGGGGACGCCTAGGTCAGTTACCTGAAGTCATTCTGCCTGCTGGCTCAAGGATCCTGACCTGCAGCTCCTCTGACCTCTCCACAGCCCACTGGGAGATGGCGTTAGCCCCAGACAAAGAGGAGACAGTCAGGTGTGCTATGTGTCATCTTCCTCTGCCGTGAGGGACTGTGGCATCACAGCACTGAGCAGCTGAGATGATGCAGTGGGTACTCACATAGGAAAGGATGGCCGTGCTGGTCAGGGAGTACAGTGCAGGTTCTGGAGTCAGACCCAGTGGGACCCCTCTGGTGAGGTTAGTCAGGGATGCGGGGGAAGTCTCTGGCTACTGTCGTCCCTGACCGTCATTTTGGTCCGTGAGCTGCACATTCCCGGATGGTTCTCTCTGCCTTCCTGGCCTGGTGTAGAGAGTCAGCTAGAAGCCCCCTCCCCAGTGAGTAGGCCGTAGCTGTTAGGTGGTCTAGAAAGAGATACAAAGGCAGCCATCCCCAGGCCTACACATTTCCCATCAAAAAGGGCATTTGAAAGACTGAGTAGCAAGTGTTGGCCAGCAACTGACCCAAGGGGTCCACACCTTCTAAGGTCATGGTCCCTTCTCATAAAAAAAAAAAAAAAAAACAAAAAAAAACTGAAAGTTAGCCAGTTGAATCTCAGTGGTTAAATCTCAGGGCAGCTTTTTGTGAGAGAGTCTACCATTAGGGAGGGGATGAGTGGGTTAGTGAGGGTGGGTATGTGAGGATGGGGTGTGGGGGTAGAGGGTGGGTATGTGGGAGGATGGGGTGTGGGGGTAGAGGGTGGGTATGTGGGAGGATGGGGTGTGGGGGTAGAGGGTGGGTATGTGGGAGGATGGGGTGTGGGGGTAGAGGGTGGGTATGTGGCATTATGATGTGTGGGGGTAGAGTGTGGGTATAATATGGCACTATGGGGGTGGGCATGTGCTGTGGATGATAATGAGGACATTCTTTCTTGCAGCATGATTATGAACAGGATGGTCTTGCTGGTGCCTCCAGCCACATAACTATAAAATCGATGGCTGCTCCTCCCAGTTGCGGTCAGAGCTCACTGCAGGTGCTGGTGGTTACCACTCTGGCCACCCTATTATCTGTATCCTTGGCAGAAACATCGTAGCTGCATTCAGGAAATACGGAAAGACAAGAGAGAGAGAAAAACAAAACAAAACAAACAAGCAAAACAAGTAACCTGTTTCCTGTCCTCTTGTATATCTAAAACTCCAGTCTTAAAGCTCGTCTGAGAAACAGTTTCATCCAACGGGAACTCTTCTGTTGTTTTTAAGGAAGCTTCTTGTGACCCTGATGAGCTTCTGTGAAAGAACATCACAGGGCTGATTCCAAACCCAGAAGGTTCTGCAGCAAGCATGGTGTGGGTGAAGGGGACCATTTACAAACTGACTGTAAAACCAGCTGAGGCTGTGTATTTTGGTGGTGGTGGTTCTGGTGGTGGTGATGATGGTGGTGATTTTAACAGCTTGAACTCTGTTCTCTCCACTGGCTAGAGCAGGAGATGCGCTGTTGGTGAAGATTCTTCCATATCTTACTTAAAAGCTTTGAATTCTAACGCCATGGCTGCCATATAATGTGGATGACGAATGAAGGTTGGGCCTCAAGAGTGGGACATTTTGGACTCCATCTCATGTTAACGTTCACCTCTCTGTGTACGTTGTCCATTGAGTGTTTGTGTATTATCAACGACTCTGTGACACTTAGCAAAACAGAAAGCCCCGGTCACATCCAGATGTAGAACCTGTCGTTCAGTCCAGTAGCTATCCGGGCTGTGGCCCTCACATAGTGCCTGGATTGTTGACTGACGCTCTCCTGAGTCTTGCCTGAGTGAGAAGCCCTTAAACTAACAAGAGCCGGATACAGCAGAAGTGCGGTTCTTAATGCTTTTTACACTTGCAGAAGTGTTAACTTTACCATTTAATGATTCCAGCTGTTGGCTTTCTACATTTTGAAAGCAAGGATACTGTCCTCATTTTTTTTTTTAAACTGATGGTTTAATACAGATACCCGCAGTGTGTTTTCCTCTCATAATTAGTACTAGCTCCAATTAGTACTTCCTTCTCTCATACAGTTCTCAAAAGCAAGACCCCATGCTTTAGCAGAAAGCTGCATCACATTTCCGTGGACAGGCAGGGGAAAACAGAACAGCCAGCCCCTCTCTGTCTTTATCTGTCTGGAAAAACAAGGCTGCATAATGCAAGAACAGGCTGATCCTTGTAAAGGGTGCTACAGTGTGATGGCATGACTGGCAGCTGACACAGCCCCAGGACCTTGATAGTCATGTTATCTGACAAAAGCACCATTGATTTGGACTCGACACAAGGGACACGTTGGAGATGCCCTGTCTGCTTTTTCAAAGATCCCTGTCAGGGTCTACAGGAGTGTGTCCCCTGCTCCTGACTCCAGGGTATCTCCTGTAGAGTATTCTATGGCCTTTATCACAGACTCTACCCCCTGCAAAAAGGAATATTCTTTGTGGGTCTCGGGGGCCAACATGGAGTTCTGGAAAGGTGAATTGGCTGGTAAAGGTACACAGAACAGGATAGAACTCTCGATGAGACATCTGGCTTATATAGCCACAGCCTTCTGGGATCCTCTTCCTCACCCGAGCAGACCCTTAGGTGTTTATCTAAAGTCTGGGTGAGGTCGTAGTCTGCAGATGATTGCAGACTGGCAACCATGTTTTCCCCAAAGTTAGGAAAAGAAAGTCTTCCCTCCATGGAGCCCTGGCAAGATGATCTTGCTTCCTACCCTCAGAAAGGCAGAGAGGCAAGTCCTGGTGTGCTCACTCTACTGATACATGCCCCCTGTGCTCTGAGGTTTGCCTTGGACACATAGCAGTAACAGTTCACCTGGGAAAGGGAAGACACCATGAAAGCCAAGAGATAGAAAAATCTGTTTTTCAGCTCTTTAGTGTTTGAAGTACATTTATATCCAAGTGCTAATGAATACCAATGTTAAATACTCAGTAGCAACATTTTTTCATGTCAGAATGTTTCAAGGGGAAATGCACTCAACATCCGAATATACCCGATCAGTGGGAAGTTCCATGAAGACTCATCCATACAGTGAATAAACGCCTTGAATGTGTCAAAACATTCAGAATACCAGTCATGTATGATAGATATCTCTTATGGAGCGTATTTTATTTTAATTAAGGTATCTCCATGTATCTACACCGGACTAATTGCATATGGGTCTGATTGGATGTGATCCGCCTTAGGAAGCTATCGATTACCCCTGCAGTATACCGCAGCTCTAATTAGCTTCAGAGGACCATAAAGGAAAAGGGAGCCCTATGCTAACAAGGGCAGCCTTCAGCAAAGAACTCATAGATACGCAACATGCAAATTAAACTTTGAAAAGCTCTGTCACCAACAACAACAACAAAAAAAAATCTCATTTTTTTTCTTTCAGAAATAAAAGCATATGGAAGTTACCAAATCCTCAATTTGCAAACAAGTTGCTGATTAGATAAACTGTGGGCAGGGCCTCAGTAGGGAGACTGTTAGAAAAACCAGCCCAAGTAAGTGGTCCTGTCATTCATGATCCCAACTTGATGTAAGAGCTTGACAAAGCGATTTGTCTCAAGACTGGAGAGGGAAACATGGCGTCTTTTACTTGCCTGACTTCCTCCTGGATCCGCTGACAAGCAAGAGCAATTCTCTGTTTTCTATCTGTCCGTCTGTCTGTCTGTCTGTTTCCCCTTTGCACAGGCATGGGTTTGGTCTCCTGGGGTTGGATTCCTTGCAGAAAACTCTCATGGAAGTTGCTTTTACCATCATAGCAGATAGTTGTGTCCACATAGTGACTCAGAATCTAGCGCTGCCCTACCTTCAGAGAGAGACAGGAGACAGCTGCTTTGAGTAGAAGCACATTCTTTCAGTTTGACCCTGGATGCCTTCAGCAGATCATGTTTAAGAGAGCACAGGAACAGAGATGTGCACATCAGGGAGGTGTTTGGCAGGGAAAGTTGCCTATTTTTCCACATACGTTTTTTTGGTTTTGGTTTTTCAAACCTCTAATAGAAAAAAGTAGACATTGAAAATTGCATAGGTTATTTTTCATCAAGAAAAGCAAATTTTATCTAGATGTAATTGGAGAGTGGTTTCCATTTGTTTCCAAGGCAATCCCATATCTTGTAGTTAAGCAGAAATGTCTTAGAAGTTGTAGCTTCAAGTTCACCCCAGTACAACACAGGAACTCTCCAGAACCCTGGGCTTAAAGTTTGCCTTGGTAAGGGCTTGTCTCTGTCTTCCTGTGCTCTTTGCTCTGCGGGTAGATCATTCCCAGCTACACTGCATTTCCCATGAGCCTCCCTGTCTGTAAGTCAGACACTCCTAAGCATCCTGTCTGTTAAGGCAGAGACATGAGAGAGGGTGGAGGTTAAATCAGTGTATATTTAGGAAAAGAGGTGTAAAAAAAGCACATCATTAGCAATTATTTCCTTAGCTCCCAACGTAAATGTACTTCAGTTATAACTTACAAAACAGTGGACTCAGAGGAGCGATCATTGGGAACGGAATGTGTTATTCACAGAGTCAGACCAGAAAAGGGTTGCTTAACTAAGCTCGCATTCTGCCTTGGCAATGCTGCTCTCTGTCTCCACGAGTCACCCCCTGCAGTCCTAGCTTGTTCTTTTTGCCTGAGCAGATGAGACCATGGGAGACCCATCTTCGTAAGGAAGGCTAAGACAGTGACAACATCTAGACAGAAGAGAATATCACCATGGCCTGGGCACCATGGCACCAGGGGGCCCATCTGTCCTGAGCTCAAGGGGTTTGGAGAAATCATGGGGCAACAAGAAGCCACTGAGATGGTCTGAGGGGGCCCCACTTTGTGAGGCCCTTTACTGATGGGAGCGTCCTTCTGATAGAATAGCCAGTGTCCCGGAATAATGGGGGTGTCCTTCGTAGAAAAGAAGCTAGAATTGACGTCTGGGTGACTGAGGGAAGACTTTGCTTTTAGAAACCCTAAAGTAAAAACCCAGGGGGTGTGGTTGGGTAACCCTAGAAGCTACATCCCTCTCCTTATCGACTCGTCTTGACTTTGACGTGGTTCTTCTCACGGAGCAAGTTTAAATCTGATCGCTAAGATTCTTCATGAGGAATAACAGTGTGACGGCAGAGGCCTTGCTTTCATGGCTTTAGCCACTGCCTCTGCCCTGGTGCACATTCTGAAGGGTTTTCATTTCCCTGTTGATTGCTGAAGCCTCCACGCTTCCCCTTTCTTATATCATAGAATCCCTTCCCAGGTTTTCATCACCCAAGTCACTCTAGGTTCAGAGCAGCCAACACTTAGCCACGCCCCATCGGATGTTCATTTTGTGGGAAGAGACCCTGGAGCCAGAGGATACAAGTACCAACTGGGAAATGCACTCCCCTACCTCTCTTGAGAGCCTCCTTCCTCGCTTTTGGGTACCCTGCGCCCTACACCCCCCCCCCCCGGGACAGCCCATACTTTTTCCCCAGAGGCGGCTTAGTGTGCCTGTTCATCAGAACGCACCACCACCTGCATTTCTGATGGGTTCTGAGACCCAGCCCAGAGGGGTGGGGGAGGAACACAAACCCAGTTCCAATAAACTGCCTGCCTGCCGAGTGCTCCAGCCTGCTGATAGTCATCAAGGCCTCAGAGCCCCCTGAGGTCTTTCTCCAAGCTCATTTGACCAACGCAGCTGTGACTTCTCGGGCTGTCTGCCTCTGGCAGGTGCCAGCATCAACATCTTGTCCAACTGCCACGAGGAGGGGTCCATTTTCATTGGAGGGGCAGCTGCCAGCCCAGCACAAGCATCAATAAGGGATTCCCTGGGTTTTCTCTCTTTGACAGTGTGGAACTTTCTTACCAGTCGCTACTTTACCTTGTAGACGATTTTATTTTATAGATGATTCCAGGAGCTTGAACAGAGACCGACAGTTCCAATACCAACAGTGTTCCTGGCTCAGTGCCCTCCTTTGTAAATCCAACCTGTAGTGGGTACTTCTAAAACGCCAGTTGCCTGAAAAACACTGGGACACCGAAGGGTTCTGTCCTGCCCCATGGCAGAGAACTCTCCAGACACATACCTGTGCTGGTCTCACTTGGAGTGGACTGGGACTGCCCCAGTCTAGAAAGGTACTCAGCTGACCATG